CATGCGACCAAGAGCCTGCTGATGTGCAGCCCTGGCCATGCAAAGCGTTGCATTGCGTTGCGATGCGATGCGATTCTTCCCGCTTTTCCTGATACATCTGCACCCTCTGAGTTTCCGATGCTCTCAACGTTCGTTAGAATCCCCACGACCATGACTGCAGATCATTCCCTGGTACGATGCATGCCGAGTAGGACCACGCGCGACAACATCGATGGCGCTAGAGGTTCTGGCCGAGAATGTGTGGCTGCAGTAGAGATGCGATCACCAAGCCTCTGCGACTTCAAACCTCGCAGCAGTCGTGCGACGGTTGCTCCACAGACTTCCGGCACTGTAGATCCGAGGCCCCCAATGTGGTTCTTATGCTCTTATTCATCCAATGTGCAGTTTTCTAGGGGGTTGTGAACTAGGCTGGGAGGTATAGCACATGAAGTGTGGATGCATCCACTGATACTGCAATTGACTGTAGCAGCAGTGGGATCTCCGTCTGCTCGACGTCATCGGCATCTTACTAGCGTGCACTAGGATATGGCAATGGCGGTGGCGTTGCCTATGTATTCCTGCAAAACTCCTTCTCACACTGAATCCATGACTGCAGATGCCGGATCCGTGAAGGTGGGCACCAACTTGGGGCCTTGGACCTGCAAGCTGCTCTTCTTCTTCTTCTTCTTCTTCTTCTTCAATCAAGAGTGTGAAAGAACCAATCAATTTGTTCGTCCAACCAGTGGATGGTATGTTTGTATATTAATCGGTTTATTTATTAAATAAAACAAGCTGTTTGGCTTTAAGACAACGAATTCATTCACATATTTATCTAAGTAATACACTAATTTATTTTTATTTGTGTGTAAAATATGGTTTGAAATGCTTTCAAAAGAAAAAAATATTTAAAAAATATAAAAAATATAAAATTCATCTTTATAATAAAACACGTATTTAATTTTATATAATTAATTAAGTTTGACATAATTTATTTGTAACAAAAGCTTTAACAAAAACTATCAAATCAAATATTTTTACTTTTATTCACATTATAATTTATATGTTAGGTGTTATATAACATTTGCTAAATCAACAACAATTTCTATTTGTTAAAATCATGATCCTTATACGAATGTAGACCAATTTTATTGTTGCAAAACCTATATTTGATTTGATAATATACAAATTAAATATTATATTCTTTACATAGATTAGAATTTCACAAGAAAAAAATCATAGTTGTCTAACATTGAATTTTATCTATCTAAGTGATAAAAATCAATAAAGAATAGATTAATTAAATATGGTTCCAACAACTGAGAAGTTGGAGCTCAATGACAAATAGAATTTGATTGATGAACCTTTGAAATTTGAATCTAGTATAATCAAATTTCCTTTAAAGAGACACTTTCAATTTTTTAGTATGTGCAATTGTGTTTGCAAGAGCTACTTAAAGAAGTACAATTGTTGAAGAAATACTTATTATTTCTAAGTTCTCTTAATCAATCACTCTTAATATTGGCTGAAATTGCAAATAAATGCAAGTGTAAATTTTTTTATTTATTTTTGCATCTATTAGATTTTTTTTATTATTCTCTTCATTATATCAGAGATAAATTAATTAAAAAAAATTAAAAATAATGATAATAATTAAATAAGAGAAAAGAAAGTAGTGTATTAAAAATTGTAAGTATAGAATATGATAATTTTTAACCTCTAAAGCACTTTGATGGTATATAAAATGTTTGATAAGCAATTGTGTTTTTTATATTTTAATTTTATTAAATCATAAAAGATAGCAATATTATATTTTTTTAAAGAATATATATATATATATATATATATATATATATATATATTACATAGAAAGAAAAATAAAACAAAGAAGAAATATAGACATATAATAAATACACATTTTATAAACTTATTTCCAAATACAAAATACTCGAGAGTCTTAAATCAAGATTGTAATACAAAAAAGACATAAATAAGATTGTAAATAAACTAAATTTCATCTCTATAACTACTACCTAATAAGAAGATAATGTAGAAGCTTTTCAAAAACCACAAGACTTAAAGTCAAAGTATCTAAGTTATAAAGTGCTTCCATTATTGCTTCATAAAAATAAAAATATATATTTAAAAAGTTTTGATTGCCATCAAGCATATCTAAAAGAAACTATAGATAAAATCCATATCTATAGATAATTAATTTCATTTTTGTGTATTGTACATATTTTTATATGTATATATACATAAATATATTAATGCACATCTATACAAACATATGTATTTATAAATTTTCAATCATAGTTTTTTAGTTTAAAAAATATATAATAAAATGCATTTAGTTATTAAACAGTTGTTATAAAATTTGTAGAAAAATAAACTTATGCCTTATGAAAATACTTAATATTAAAAAATATTTTTTTATTATTAAAAATATAGAATTTGAGACATTATGTTGTAATACAAAATAAAATAATAATCTTTTAAGAACTATATAATACTATCAAGTATAGTATTAGATGCAATCTAATTCTAAATGTTTTGCTTGTCTTTTTGTTCCTAGCCTTCATCATCTTATCCCCCACCCCCTCTCCTTCCACACTCTTCTATTCCTAGCTCTCATCCTAAATCCCCCTTGTTCTCCACAATGGAGTGGATTGATGTAGTAAATGAGTGGATCATTTTAACATTTTCCTATATATATATATATATATATATATATATATGTATATAAATATTTCTATTCATGGTCATGTTTTTAATGTTTATTTTTTTCATATGTTATTCTATTCATCTAGAATTATTTTTAGGCATAATCTTCTTTTATCAATATATATAATTCTATAATTATTCTATATACTCTTTATTTCTTTATCTATGCATAAAATGAATTTATAAGATAGTTGAAATGTTCGTAATTTTATTTTGATATCAATGAATAATATTTTTTTAATATTATTATAATATATTTGCATGAAGGCTTTTGTATAAGGGTTTTCTCTAAGATTTATATATAATTTTCATACATATATATATATATATATATATACTAACTTTGGTACAAGCAACAAAAAAATAGTCTAAAACCAATTTACTTGCATGTTTTAACTAAATGTGCAATGTAGATAGCCGTTCATTCTTACTGTTGTTTCCGAGTGCTGCCAAAATTCTTTGTTGATAGAATTCATCTTCAGAAAGTAGACTGTCTAACTCAAAGCATGATACAAGAATTATATTGGAAGCAAAAACAATATAATTCAACTTGAATGATGTTGCTGCAATTTCAACATGTTATCTAAATTATTTGTAATATATATGATTTACTTAACTTGAACATACTTTCAATGGAACACATCAAAACAGGAAAATAGACTAGAAAATTGGTTTTTTTAACTCCTGAAAAGAAGAGAAACCCTTTGTCTAAACATTTTTGAGAAAGATTACTAACTACAAAGTCAAGGCGGTAACACAGAAAGAAAGTAAAGTTGTGTGAACTGGAGCACCCCAAAATGCTTGATTAAGCACATGATAGCAACTCAGCAGAAGATGGTGAAGTAACCATGCTGTTGTGCGGCTATCAAGAACAGTGTTGCACACTTGTTATTGTGACTAGGTAATCCACAAAGGTAATGGATTAATTGAATCAGGTCATCCGCTGCACAAGAGGCATCAGACCATGTATGACATTTCGTAACAGACATTTCTTTGTCCTTTATTCAGATGAAACATGAGAGAAACCGAATAAGTGAGAATCAATACAATTTTTCAGAACACCATGGTGAGAACCATCACAGACAGCACCATTAAAAATGTAATTTTTCTCGTTTTACTGTAGTTCGATCGAAATGTAAAATAGCTGGCGGGTTGCAAGTAACATACCAGGATGCAAGAGAACCAAAAAGCAACCGTGACCGCACAAGAATAATGTAGCTTTCCACATAAATTGTAAAGTGTGTCCAATTACTCTGTTGATACTGAGTCTTGAGCAGGCGCTGGAAGTGCTTGTGAGGTTGGCGATTGGTTCAGTGGCTTGTCAATTGGGCAATCTGTTGGATCAAGTTGACAAGCTGCTTGTGAGGGGAACAGGATTAGCAGGATGAAATGGTTCAACTGTTCGAATCGAGGAAAAACAATTTGACCTAAACAGTATCTGAAGTTGTCCAAGTGTGTTGCAATTCAAAACAAACGTCACATACCAACCATGGATGTGACACTTCAGACCAGTGCCTACATGTCTCAGGTAATTGTCCACTTTTTCCACGACACGTTCTCTGTCCACTCCAAGAAAGGCAACCAACAAACAGAATTGGCAAGACAAAACCAACCAACGTCACGCATGAACCTCTCAATCTCGTGTGCGCCATCAAGCAGCCTCACGCTTGTTCGTACAATTACACCAGATTCCTCATACGAAATCAGAGGCTCGGTGCATCGTTAGCTGAAAATGAACTGGACAATAAGGTAGGAGTATTTTTTAAGCAATGCAGACACGCAGATAATCATGCGATGTCATCACCCATAAACTTTTCGAGTTCTCCTTAGTCCTTGATATAACCAACTTTCAACCCCTCACTAATACGATTGTGGAGATCTACTGAACACATTGTTTGAGGTCGTCTTCTGTTTTGCAAGTTAATTTTCCATCTTGCCACTTCATGTGAGGCCATAGACCTGCCACAGCGAGACAATAAGGAAATTCCCCGTCGGTAGATTAGTATAGCGGAACACAGAGGTTGAAGTGAAGATGACCTAAGAACAGCGTCTAGGCCAAGGTGACCAAGATCCAAAAAACAATCATGATTCAAATTCGGGAGTAGAAACTGACAGAGATTGACGGTTTCAAATACACAAGGGTAGGCTAGGTTTCAAGGAATGGGTCAGCCTTCCCTGCTAAGTACATTCACCACAACAGCACCCCACTTTCAGTCTACATTCTTCACAAATCTACACAGCGAAGACCCGGGAGCATGTCAATTTGATACACATAGTGGACGCCGCAAAAGGCCAGGTCGTAGGGAACACCAACACCATGCTAACAATGTCATTTTACAGCAAGGAAGTGGTCAACCTCCCCAATTATGCTGGCGAACTAAAGGTGACAATCGATATCATGGAGAAAAAAACCATTCACTCAACAGATCAATAGTAATAATCAAGCTTCACTAGCTTTCCCTTCATGTACTCCTCCTTGCATTCTGAATTCTCGAGTAAAACACGGTTGCCTACAATGACTCCAAAAATTGCCCTCCACATTGAGTTGCATCTGGCGCAATAAAAAACCCTGCCTGTCTGATCATTTTGAGGAATAAATCCCTGTATTTGGGAAGAAAGGAGGACTACTTAGAAACCGGGAGGAAGAGGGCAATATGAGCAACTGAGGTAATCTAGGTATAAGATAATAGAAAATTAGAAAAAAGGAAGAAAGAAACAAAAAAAAGAAAAAATCCTAGCTTCTCACTATCGCCCTTTTTCCACCAACAACAGCTTTACCAGACCCAGCTTGAGCTGTCTGATAAGCTGTCTGAAACAGCACTAAAATAAGAATGGCTGAGAGTGGCTCCTGCAGCTTCCAAACGCTTCCAAGTCTCTTCACGCTTCTTATCAACGCTGCTGGCCTTCGCTGCATCGTCTTGGTACTTGCGGTCACATTCCTGCAGAAGTTCCTTGTCCATTTCCTGGAACATTTTGCGAACATTCAAAGTAAGGCTATGCACGGTCTGGTTCCAGTGACTAGTTGTGTTCCTCACAAGAGCAGGATAGATAAGGGGCAGCACCACATGCCGGTTTTGAGCAACCAAGCTCACGATATGATCATTGTTCCAGACGAATAGTGCACGCTCCGCTACCTGCAGCACACCAATACACTTAATTGTAAGTAAACGTTTTGGTGGTGTAGCACATGTATCAATTTCCAGTCTGAAAGACACGTACTGAATAAGAACAAAAAACCCACATCTCTGGCCCAAATGTAATGATCCTGTCTAACACGTACCAAGAAGCACACTTGCTAAACTTCTTTATTAAGTAGGAGGATTCAGCACACAAGCACAACTACCTCTAAAAAACAAAGAAAAAATATATTCTTCTTGTGCCATCAACGAGGATGGTTCTGCAAGACTTAAAATCCAAAAATAACGAGATGGCCTAATATTAACGATGAAAAGCTAATGACGAATTCCATTGTCTTAGTCCTATCTTCAGAACCTTGCAGCTCGAAAGAGAAGAGTACAGTATTCACCTGGAAGTGGGAGCTGTTGAGACAACGACTAAGCTGCCTGAAGAGAGGCACCATGCAGCGCTGAAATTCTGCACCCTGTGTAGCTTCCAGGACTTCTTCCAGTTCTCCCAGAAACAGAACCTCTTTTTGACTGTTCGTCAAGGGCCAATACTTGAGCATACCCCTGATTACTGTATCCGCTAGCTTGAAATCCTTCTCCACAAACTGAATTATGCAATAAGCAAGTTGCTGGTGATAAATAGAGACGCCTTTGGGTTTGTGCAGGGGTAACAGAGCTCGCACAAGAAAGAGCTCATGCTCTTCCTTAAGGGGCAGAGCAAATCCGTTAACAATGCTGCCCAGAATCTCTAGAAGTTCAGCAATACCATTATGCTTCTCGGTCTCGTAAATGAATCTGTAGAAAATGTTGTTGATAGCCTTACGAATAAAGGGACGGTAGACCATGAACTTCCCATAAATCCTATGTAGAATCGTCTTCAAATACTCCCGCTCCCGAGGATCCTCAGAATCAAAGCAGTCTAGCAATCTAACTACAAAGGAATGGTCAATGTATCTTTTGGCAACCTTGGCATCTATGTCAGAAGACACCACGTACCGTAGCAGAAACTCATACACAATTTGCAAATGCGGCCAAGCGGGATTCATAACGGGTTCCTCGTCATCTGCGTCACCCTCGGCGCCCGTATGCTCGTGATGAGCAGGGGGAAGAGGGCGGAATATATTGATGACCAGCATTCGAGTGATATCCTCGAATACATTCTCTGTGAATTTCCCTGTGCCCGACGTCACGTAGTCAACCAATTCTAGCAGAGTCTGGCGCTTAATCTCTTTCTCCTTCACATCCTTCATGGGATCTGTGAAATCGAACATATAGCAGCACAACTTAAGCTTCCTTGAGAACAGAAATTGTCGCTCAGAAACAGGCACATCCTTGAAAGACATCAGGGGCTCCAAAATTCCTGTACTTAACTTATTCTCCTGCGATTGAAGTGAGTTCTGCGCAAGCACTGAAGACGCAAGGACCTCTCCGGCTTGCCGAACCATGGGCATGGCCGGATTCCGTGTCCCGAGAGGGTTAACATTAGGTTTCATAACAGGCGCCACTGCCGGTGTCGGTGGCCCTGACGTCGACCCAGCTGGAGTCGGCGGTGGGGGACACGCTGCTGCGTCATTGATTTCTACTGCCTTTGCTGCACCCTTCTGTCGTGTAATCCCGAATCTCAGTTTAAACACCATAGTTGATCAATCATCTCTCTGATAAACTCTTCGAATCGTCTCCTTCTGTGCTCATTGGCACCATATATCCTTCCTCAACCTCGTCCCATTACCCTAACACAAGCCAGCACATCTCACCTATGCCCTTCTCATTGATTTCACGGATTCAGACCCAACAAAATATGTGCTCTGGTTTTGAGCTGAGAACTCTCATTGGAGAGGATCACTTTAACTTGTTTAACTGCTAGTTCACATAAGACAGAAATCAGAGAAAGGAATAAAGAGTCCAACTCTAATAAATTCTAGATATTCAATCACACATACACACCGTCTGTGAAGTAATTTTGTAGCCATCCGCGGTGATCCTTGAGCCCAAAGTCAGAAAGAAAAAAACCAAAGGCCCGTGGAGACGATTAATTTTTTAAAGGATCAAGTTAGCCTCAAATGCGCAGTATCAATAGACTGAGACCTCAAGCTAAAACATCATATGTAGAAAGAGTGTCTCCAAAGAGAGATAAACCTCTCAATGACCCCAGTCGCTTGTAGTTGAATCTCAACTATTCATTACTTAGTTTACCTCTAGCCCTGATTGCGAGTTCTTGTACTCTACTAGATCGGGGAAACTCCTACAAACTCTTTACGAGTATTAACGTGCCCTTTCAGAAACAGTTTGAGAATATTTACATAGAATAACTCACACATCTGTAGACTTTCTACAAATCATGCAGTGCTTCTAAACGGCTTCTTGCAATACTTCAGATCCTTAATCATCACAGAACAGTTCAACAAGACACGAACCACTCTCAAACATATTGAATCCCCATATCTTGCATCTCCGGAGGCCAATGCAGTAGAGGAGTTTGAGAGGCTCACACGAGCAGTCGATCGAGGCCGTTCCTCGCCCCGCTACGCAACACCCAACTTGAAAATCACCAAAACCAGCATATATGGATGTGCTGTGACCGTTAAAAGCGGATATGCGACAGGATGCGTGCAAGAAGGGATCTGAAAGGGTGAGGCTGGTCGGAAAAATTACGGCTCAAAAGACCGGGGTAAAAGGAGGATATGACACTCGGCTCGCTTCTTCTTCAAAAAATGCCTGGCCACGTGAGGATTTCTCTACTTAGGTCAACCTAGTCTGTCCCAGTTCCTCTGCAGTGATTTTTATTATTTTTTGAAGCTGTTCCAAGCACAACGGATCTCGCTCTGTTCATGTTCACTGCAATCTTAATCATTTTTGGATGTTTTCATTTCTTCGATTTTCAGTTCACCTCTCGGAGTGCGCGAAAACACATCCAGATAGAGAAACAGTGCAGAGAACAGCAGGCTGTGTTATACTCTCCCTGTGTTCAACCTAAAACACGAATGCTTGTACAAATGGCTTCATAGGGGAATGTTTTCCCAGGTTATGCCAGAATTCACAAACGCAATGGTGTCATGCTTGAAATCTTTTAGTTCTCAACACGCACACAATTCTCCCTAGAAGCTGTCGAGTTCAATTCTACGAAACGAAGGAACCGAATTAACGGAGAGGTAATTGAATCACAAGTCTAATAAAGAGTCCAACTCTAATTCAAGTCAGTTGCACTCACTTTTTTTGTCGCCTACGAAATTGGGGACGTGAAAAGGACTCTTTCTCATGAAAATGAATGAAAAATGCAGCAGTTCTAAGGGCATAGTTTACACACAAGAACAGAACTGTAGAAGCACTAACAAAAATTCTTCAGCCGGCGTCTTTGCTTTTGTACTTGTGAATATGTGGTAGTTTTTAGGATAGGAGGTGTACCTACGAGACACGTGATAGAAAGATTGCAGAATATTTTTAAGTTACTACTAGCCTGTGGGTCCTCACTCGATAGATCCTCTGAATAGCTTCATGTCACAATATTCTTCAATTCTCACAAATCTGTACTTCGATGAGAATGCCTCCACTAATGAGATGTAGAAAGTTTCTGTTCAGATGTGTTTAATTGTGTTATACTCTTAATTGATTTTTTACCCGATTAGACACCACACAGTTATTTCTGCTTTTATTCCCACTTCAGTAATGTACGAAGTATGGTCTGACCTAATCTGGAGTGTTGATTTAATATTTTCATCAGATCTGAGTGGTAGTGCCGAGGGATTAAGCCGTAAAAAAAATTGAACAGTGTGCTTCTGCCCGAAACACACTTCGAGAGTGCTTCAAACACGAGTTGGTTCTCTTTTAACGCAATCGCGTAAGAGAGAAGAGGGACAAAAAATGGAAATGAAAAAAGTCTCCAGCCAGAGAAAAGCATGTCAGTTTAGGGCAGATCCTAAACTGGGATCGAAGTTTAAAGCATGATTATCGCAAGCTCGTGAAGGACATTCATCACAGCCATCGGCAAAAAGTCTACCTCATGCCTTTTTCACTACGCTTTTGTAATATTATAATGTCCCAATGTTTTGGACCTGTATATTTACTCTAATAATTACCTATATAATTTAATAAAAATAGATAAAAATAGATTTATTTAATAATTTCTTCTAGAAAAGCTTTCTAAAAGCTTCATAGATGTTGCTTTGATTTTATACATGTTTGTAGTTGATTGATAGATGAGAAATTTGGTCAATAAGTTAGCTACATATTATACTTGCTGATAGCTTGTAAAACAAGCTAACTATGTGGCACATATATAGAAAACATGCCTTGCAAGTTAAGCCATGTATTTAGCAAATTTTTTTACTTTGATGTTGATCCAAAGCTCAACTTGAGTGAAAATATAGGGCATCTAATTTACCTTTTTTTTACTTTGAGGGGAGGGGGGGTGGCAGACGAATTAGCTGTGTACAGGCTCTGAGAGGCAGATATGCAAACATGGAATAAGGTTCTGAATTTTTTTTAGATGGTGCTTGTCAACATTCTTGTGTAACAGTTCTGGTCTGTAGACTATTTGGCACTTGAAGGACTATGGCAGAAGCGCACAGCATCCAAGGCAACTTGTGAGGTCACGCAAGGTCATGAGTGCGAGCAGGAGCGCATGATCTATTTCCATTGTAAACTGTGAACAGAGAAGGTAAGAGTGGTATTGTTTTACGCCGAACACTACCGCAAGCCCCTCTTTATCAGAGATATCGTAATTGCCTTCAGCTATGGACAGCCGGTGGGAGGCGTAAGCCACTACATGCTCTCGATCTTTGATGACTTGGCTCAGAATGGCGCCAATGGCGTCCCATGACACATCTGTTTGTAGCAGGAAGGGTCTGTCGAAATAATGGTAGATAAGCATGGGTGCATTACATAGCGATGTTTTGAGTGAAGTGAACGCGGTTTTTTCATTCTCTCTCCATACAAACTTGACTCGTTTTTTCATGAGTCTGTATAGCGGGGCAGCTAAGGTGGCAAATCCACGCACAAAGTGGCAGTAATGGTTCACTAGTCCTATGAATGACTGAGTGCATTCTAGATTCGCTGGGTGTGGGAAGTCCATTATTGCTTGAAGCATGTCGGGGTCTGGCTGGATCCCTGTTGCTGATATGACGTGCTCGAGATAAAATAATTCTGGTAAGCATATGATGCATTTCCTTGCTTTGAGCCCAAAAATGCAAATTTGATCAAATGCTTTTTGGGCAATGAAGGTCTGTGAGGTGAGTCGTGAAGTCTTGAGAGTAGATGTTTATATCCTCCACGTAAACCAAGGCGCATTCCCACCGTAAGCGTCCTAGCATAGAATCCATTAGCCGCTGGAAGGTATGTGTTGCATTATAGAGGCCCATTGGCATTGTGTTGAAGTGGATGTCAATCGCAGCAAACAAATGCGGTTTTTTCTTTAGTAGAGTTTGTGAGCGGTACTTGCTAGAAGCTCACAACTAGATCGATTGGGGAGAAGATTCTTGCTTCTTGTAACTGATCAAGGGTGTCATCTATGTGGGGCAGCGGATGTGTCCTTTTTTGTAATTGCGTTAAGCTTTCTACAGTCTATGTAGAAGCGGGTAGATCCATCCTTTTTTTTCTACTAGTATTACCGTTCTGATCCACGGAGAGAAGGAGGGGCTGGCTACCCCTAGAAGCGAGAAGTTTTTCAATCTCCTCTTTGATGGCGGCTCGTTCTTTGAGAGACTTGCGACAGGCAGCTTGGCATATGAGGGGAGCGTCGGTCACAATGTCATGCGTTAGTACGCTAGTGCGGCCAAGATCATGATCACCCGCACTAAATATGTCAAGATTCCTTTGAATAAGTTGCAAGATTACACGCGCTTGATTATTGGAGAGGTTGCGATCCAATTTGATGGCCGCCAGAGTGTGCTTGAGCTTCTCAAATGTCTATGGATTGTTTGTCAGTTGTGTCTCGAAGTGCACGTGAATAAATATGGCGAAGCCGTTTTGCAGAGTGAATCCTTTGTGTGTGGATTGGGTTCTATGAGCCTCGTCCTGTTCTGCGTACTTCTCTGCTGTTCTGATATGCCATGCTTCTTTTCTGTATCTTTGGATGCTGGCAGTGTGGGCTATATCATATGAGATCACGATCTATAGAATTGAGGCAATGCGACGTGTTGTTGATCTTACATGTGGGTGTATACAAGTCGTTGTGCTCTTCATTGGTGGTGATTCCGCTATGTTGCTTCACCGTGCTGATGTCACGTGTGGGTGCTATAAGGTGGATTTGCGGTTCATTTGGCAGTAGATCAATGATGGGCTACTATTTGAGGTGGGGGAGAGGCTGCTGGAATAGTTGTGTGTTTTTTATGCCAAGATGGGCTTCTGGGACATGCAATATGCTGGCCATTGATGTTGTTTTGATGGCGGAGAGGCGGGCTAGTGTCTGGTTTTGCGTGATCCGTAATGGGGCATCAGTAGGGTTGGCAATCAACAATTTTATTTCACCATGATATTGTTGATTAAGTATGTCGTATCCAACTAGGCCAAGGTGGTGTTGCGATAGTCAGCGCCACAGTTCAATCTGCAAGAAGTGATGGCGAGGGCAGGCAGGCGCAAAATTGCTAGCAAGCAGCATTTGGGAGTGAGGGGAAATGATGACGGTTGTCGGAGCTTGCACAACCTTGGTCTTGTGTGTTGAAGCTGCGGGAGGGGCACCTTTGCTGCCGGGAGCGGGTAATGTCCACGTACATAGATGTTCCCCCGTTAGTTGGTACTTTAAGAAGGCGGCCCAATCGTGTTGTGGTTCGTAGAGTAAGGGTAGGGGAGAGGAGATGTTCAGCAAATGTGTCCTCGGATGCATGTTAATTGCGGTCATGGAGATGGTTTTTGGTTCAGCACCTTGGGCGTTGAGCATGAGTTTCCGACGTGCCATGTCGAGCACGCATGCGGTTTTGTGAGCCAGTCCAAATCGAGTAGGATTTTATTGCCGAAACTGACAATAGCCTTGACCGAGTGTCCATAGCCTACCACGGAGATGTGTACCGAGACAAGCCCAAGGGGTTGGCAAGTGGTCCCATCTGCGATGGTGATAATGATATTAGCAGGCTGGATTTTTGAGATTCGGTAGGCGAACAAGAACGTGGGGCACAGCTGTCAGGTTGCAGCCGGTGTTGATGATACATTGTCAATCGACTTGGTGATTTGCCCAGAGACTACCCACGGTCTTACAATTGTGAGTTTGTGGGAGGGCACCATGCAATTGAGTGTGAAGAAGGTCGTTGACATCAATGCACGGTGGCGTGGGCTTTTGGTGATATGCACATTTGAGCCAGGGGAGTCTTCAGATGTGCTCTTTAATTTAAAGGCTTGGCCGCTATCTGCTCGGCTAGTAGGCGTCAAAATTCCAGGAGCATCTTCAGCATGAAGGGCCGTAGGGGGCAGCCCATGGCATTGTGCCCCATTTCATCACAGATGCTGCATGGTAGCGGTTTCGCATGAAGGGCAATTATTTGTGCACTTCGAGGGCTTTGCTATCAAATTGTGGTTGCCAGCTGGTGGTGGCTTTGAGAGATTGAAGTTGTTCGGAGATCCTTGCAAGTGCTGCGTCGAAGTTGTTCTCTTCTTCCTCATCTTCCTCTGCTGTGTCAGAGTAGGTTTCTAGTAACATTGCTGGAACTGCCTTGTACTGAGGAGGTAGTCAAGTATTTTTATTGGTGCGTGAAAATGCCATGCATACTTTCAGATGTAGGAGCATGGCGTCGTCGTTGAGGAACTGGTTGACGCCTGCTTTTCGCATCAGATCAAGTGGAAGAGATCGTATGAAGTAAGCCCTGACAATTTGTTTCATGAAATCTCCCTTGTCGTTCGTGGCCAGCTTGGCATGGGTGATGAAGCGTGAAAAATGGAGGTCGAGATTGGTCCTTGGGGTGTTCTTCAAACTATTAAGTCCCAAGCAGCATTGCATTGATATACTGGGACGAACAACTTCTTTCCTAGGTTTTAAACCAAAATCCAACTTCTAAGTGTGTCAGCGTCGGTGCAGGATTCAAACAGATCCTTAGCATCTGTGCGGAGATAGGTTTGGAACTGCGATAAGCAATATGATTCTAGGCCAAGGTAGGCTTCTGCAACCGTGTTGAAATCTCGTAGGAATGCAAGAAAATCCTGTCCAAGGGTGTATAAGCCAAAAAATAACGCTGGGAGCCGACCCATGTTGTTACTTGTGTGTGATACATGCGGATTGGGGAGGTCAGCTCGTCTTGTGGTCACGATGTGGGGGTGCTGATGCAGCTCCGTGAAACTGATGATGATCGGAGCCATAGTTGAGGTTGCATGAAATGTTGTAGTTATGCCCGTTAGATTTGGTGTCGTGTATTCTTGCTGTATCAGCTGGGCACATTCTTCCAGAGTCATGGTAAGGACTGCTCTTCTGAGCAGATTCGTAGCAGCCGCGCGGACAAATGGTGTCATCTTTTGCTACGATGGTTTGCTCTTCTTCTATAGATTCACCAAAGGATTTGAGCGCTACGGCTTCCATCATTGTAGAAAATGCTTTTGTGGTCGAAAATGCTCGTGAAGATTCCTCATCCAACGCTTCAGAAATTGGTAACTTGTCAAGTCGGTCAGTCATGGTTGGGATGTATATTCCCAAAGTTCGACGCGTTCTTTTTGGAATGGAGTAGTTGTCCCACAGGGATGCTGGGACTTCGATGTCTACTTGTGCTCAAGATTTTGCGAAGAGTGCACTACCTCGCTGTATAAATCTATTTTGTGTACATTACCATAAGGAAACATGAAAATATTGGGGTGCATTGCGAAAGCAGAGCAGTATGTCTTGTACACCAAAGGTCGATGTGTCAATGCCCCAATGTCGTGAATGGACTGGGTCAAGTGTTCCAAGAATCACATGCACGTCGTTGGACCATATGCAAATTTGTTGGTTTTCCATGTAATGCTTGCGTCTGGAAAAGATAGCTGGTCTTCCGGCGTCGAGCAGCGTTGATTTCCAAATCTGAAACAACTGGTGGCATATAGCAAGATTTAATAAGTACAAAATATAACTTCTGTCGAGAGGAACGTTCCTCTTACCTATGCGTATGATGGATAGTTCCACGGCATCTGCCTCTCGTGGTAACAACAGCAAGGTTGTTTGGTCGTGCTGTACGGAAGTGGTGCCAACGTCGATACTATGTTGGTGATGTTCTGTGTTGTCGGATGCTGCAGCCGTTGTATGAGGCGTTGAGTTGGATTGCTTATCGTTGGGGGCAAGGGGGAGTTGATTGATCGTTCTCACATGTGTTTGTTCCGCCCTGTCAGGGCGTCCAGGAGGCATTGCTAAGCTGTTCTTGTTGACTTCGCTTGGTCGCTGAGCCTCCAAGCGTTGGGAGTGTGTTTTTGGGTTCCACAGAACTTCACATGTCGCCAAACCGATTCTCTTGATGTCTCTTGCGTCCATCTATTGTCTCTACATCCTCCAAAGTTGTGTTAACAGTCTTACAGGAATACCCGGCGACCCTACCAAAGTCTCAGATAGTCACCAATCCTGTCTAAGCGCAACGGAAGTGTTTAACGACTTTCGCGCCTCATCTACTTACCAACCAGAAACCTGCCAGAGGCAAACGCAATCTGCTAGTCAAAGATTAGTTGAACAGACACAACTAAACATGCAAGAGATGCGGCGCGACAGTTGAGCAACAGACCCTAGCCGCACATGCGACGCAAGAAGAGTATCCAAATACCTGTTGTCTAGATTTCCATCCATTGATTTATATCGAATTGGTCCAATCGGGTTTGGGTGCCTCATCCGTTTAAACAGGAGCGCAACGAGCGCTAATTGGCAGGGGCAAGATTAATGCCAGGCCAGAACTTATTCCTACAGTATTGACCAGAATTCTTGCCTTTGTTTTCTTATACTTTTTTTTGTGTTCACGGTTTCCTGAGTAGGATTTAGTGGAAGAAAGTTCAGAATGGACCCATGTGTGTCTGACACTTTATTTTTTATTTTTATTTTTTTTTGAGGAAATGTGGTCGTCCTTGGTAAGTATGTGATTCAACTTTGGTGAATTGTCATGACTAGAGGATTGTGCCGAGGTTGTTTCTGTGATCTCTGCAGAACTGCCATACTATGCTGTCGGTGTTAGAAACTTTTACTGATCTAGTGGAATACGATACACAGGGATTGCTTCAACTATGGTTAATTGAATCTTCTCGGATTTAGAGATCTGTGATGGAAGTATGTGATACTGGGACACAAACACAGAGCTTCTGGACGGAGCATTAGAAGACTCACACTTTTAGATTTGGAGAGGTTTTTATGGATTCTAGTTCGTTGAATCTCTCAATGAGGCTATGGACATTATGCAAAGGATATACACTTGAATGTGATAATTACTTTGAATTTGACTAGTGGTCGAGATGCGTTTAGTCATAGAAGGGAAGGAAGGTTTTACTGCTTTGTTCGACACTGATGGTACTCACTCACATACATAACCCCCCCCCCCCCCCTTTGCATAATCTGCAGTAGAGATGGTGGTAAGTGAATAAAGTTGGGCTATCTAGGTGTGTGCATTGTGGCTAATGGTACAGTCAGTAAATAATGTCAGCAGTTCCGACCTTGTCGAAGTTGTGGACCAGCTCGGCGAATCTGGTGCTTTTTTGTGGCCACTCTTTGAAAATCACAGGTACTCCTTTTTTGAATGAGATGGCTTTGGTACTGAAACATATTGACATAGCTAGTTTGTCAGGTCAGACGTTTGGTCATTGTATGGCATGCTTCACATTCTTTCAATGTCCTAAATGTACTTTACTGGAGATTTGCTAAGAATTGAAAGCTCAGTTCAGATTTGGATGCTTGCAACTGTGATAGGTTATAACTACGTGTTTGCTGATAATTGGTTGGTTGTTGACAATGGCGGAAAACACATCGCAAATCAGGTCCTGCTTGTCATCCCTCCTTGGTATACCTGCAGCTATCCTAGTAAACTATTATTCTAAATCACTATTTGGTCGTTGTTGAGCAATTCTTTCCTGCAACCCACTGTTACGGTGATGCTCATTGGGAACGAATCATGTGGGATTCAGAGTTAAGAGACACATCTGGGTAAGACCAAGCTCATGGTGTCCATTCACTCCCTAGTCCGGCAACATTGATTTTTTTTCTTGTATCATAATTAACACTAAAAGGAAGTTCTGAGGAAATCAACTAAGTAGGAAACTTGGTTTACAGTGTGTGTTTGCGTGTTTTTTAAATAAAACCAGGAGTTCGTCAATTTTGCATTACTTTACATGGCTCATCCTGATATTTTTCATCTTAAGTGGTACACTACCACTCATCTCTCTCTTTACACATCATCTGCAACATTAAGTCAAACCAAACAACCAATTGTTTCGCTATACCATGTTATTATCATACATGTAAGAATTGTGTACTCTCCAACAGCATGATGCCTTATAAATTGATTATAAAAAGAGACAGTATCATATTGTTTCGTGTCAAAATGCTCAATCCCCTGCCCAGTCGGCCGAAAGTGCGACTTTGAGGAGCTAGAAGAGTTTATCAAGTACGATGAGGTGAAATCTTGCTACTTACCGTGGAATATGCACAAGACAATCGGTGTCTTTGAGACCACTCTTCATTCGCCGTTTCAATAATTTTTCTCACAGGAGTAGTGTAAGAAGAACAACAGTAGAAGCCCTAAGAACAAGGTTTAGTGCTTTCAGCCTCACCCACTCGATCGATGGCCAAATTGGCATCGATGTGAGTCAGTTCTTTTCTGAGGTGTCTATAAGGTTCATGAGCTCCAGAATTCATTGAATCAGTAGGTTCAAAATGTTATTTGCTTAGATCATCAAATTTTGGCCCCGTTGAGTATTCCCTCGAGTTTGGGATTTGACATTTTGAAAACGCTTTCTCCGAGATCCAGTTATTTGAGGACATGATTATCCTCTGAGCTATTACATACAACACTGCTCTTAACTTGTTAACATCTAGTATGGATAAAAGAGCAATCCGACCACTAGGTGTGAGGGGCTTGAAACAGTTGAAAGTCTAAGGTTGTTCTCGCAGAACAAAACGTATAACTTGACGAGGCAATACCTACGTATCATTTGAATGTGAGAAGACAACTAGTCACATAAGTACGTATACCATTACTTTGATAAGTTTGTCCTGATGTATCTGACCTTTTATTTTCACGAGGCAGGATTTGATACTAATGAGTTGATAATGCACAATGAATTTCGCGAAAGTGGTTTACATGGAAGACTCTGAGGACTTAATCAACCAAACACCTTTAACCCTCCAGAGTGTGTTTGATGGACCCGGGGTCGAATTTCAAGCTTATCCATTTTTCTGTAAGAAGCTCATTGCAAAAATCTTGACTTTGATGCACAGTTCCTATCTTAAACGAAAGACCTACATCAATACCTGGGTTGAGATCACACCAATGTTTTAACTTTGTGGGTTGAATTTACAATAAATGATCATGTCAGCCTTGTCGTGGACTAATGTTAATTCATGAAACAATGCAGCATTGGGTTAACATAATCGACGGATTCAGCAATGTAATAGACAGCAAGAAAATAAAATACTCAATGAACTATAAACAGCCAAATGGGGTTAGTTACATGGAATTGGTGGAAAAACAACATTCTTTTTGGATAGTACGGTAATGTAATATGTTAGGGATTCAACACTGGTAAGTGCTAAAAAAGGGTAAATTTGAAAACGCTCATGTGCTGAGATGAAGCTCATGACAAGCGAATTATTGAGAGGCGTAGTTTTGGGACTTCGGATGTCTTTCTCATTTTTCATGCAATTGATTACTTTAATGAATGAGGTGGTAGTGCCAGTCCATGTTCGACTCAGGTCAACAATGAGTGCCCTACTTTAAGTCAACATTTGGCAAAACCAGTATAGTAATTTCTCAAGACTAACATCACACTCTCCACGATCCTTCACAGTAAAGCTCCTACGTAAAAACTTGGAATTTACTTACATAAGCAGAGTTGTGGGTTCACAAGTAACTTCGTCCTTCATCATCGCACCATCACAAGCTCTGACCAAGACCTGGGGAGAATCGAAATGCAGACATGACTGCACTTACAAGTCACAATAACATGGGCGGATCCTTCCTTCACAGCATGCCATTATTTTCTGCAACACCCTCTAATCTGTCTGTTCTTTTGTGAAACAAATAGAAAGCAAAAATCCAATCCAGCTCATTGCGAACAGGTACTAAATAATTGCTATGACCTTTCTCAACAGGTTCTCAATAATAAGAGGCCGGAGCATGATTCGGCAACAGTGACGTCCTCGTTTCCACTGTTCCTTTGACGGTTTTGGTTTTGGAACTATCGAACTGTACAGAACATTCATGCCGCGCTCTCATCAGCGTCTGTGACTCCCTCGTGAGCGCGTGATTGTGTGGTGAGCAACCAGAGCCGCGACTGTCGATCATTCATCAGCTCCCGCTTCGTCTCATTATCCGCCTTTGTCCCACCCGTAACGCGAAAAAAAATATAAGCCTTTTTTGGAAACTCAGTTGTGGCTTAGGGGGATGGTTGATATCGTGAAGCGAGGATGAGGAGAGTCGACAGGACTTATTGGAGTCATGGCCGAGATTGTTCTTCGGAAGCATTGCGTGGGAGCTTTGGGATGCTGTTGTTTGGAGTGATTGGTGGACAGTAGGGTAAGTTGTGGCTTGGAAGTGTTTGTGCTGCAGAAATGGCGTGTTGGTGGGCGGGTGATTAGGCGGGTGACGGAATGAGGGTTAGATAATTATTTTTCATGACAGAGCTCCTGGAGTGTTGCAATTGGTTTTCTGGTTTGAGGTCATGTTTGGTGCTGGTTTCGTGACGCTGCTTGAGAGTTGTCCCGACAAGCTGAAGAGATAGGGGTGACTTAATTTGGTATTTCGACTTTGTGTTGAGATTCAGGATTTTTGGGGTTAAGAGAGAAAAGCATGATGTTCAGAGAAAAGAACATAGTCTTGGTTTTCACTCGAGGGTCGGCAACGGTTTATAAAAGTCTTGAAGATGGGTTTCCTTGACTTGGTGACGGAATGTCTGTTCAAGTCATGGTCTTACGCAGGGCTCTACACACCTACGAGATAGTATTTTCTCTCGGGCAATGCATGAAGATTGCACTCTTTTTCTGAGGTTGCGTAGGCTGCTCTTCGTGTCTTGTTTGCTGGCGGTTTGAATTTTGTCGCTTTGGACAGAGCAGACGAAAGTCACTTCATGAGCTCTAGTAAGTTCTCTTCTTATAGCATTGCTCTTGTGAGGTCCAGTTTCCATAATTATCCTGTTCAGCAAGTAGATATTTGTTCCCATGTTTGTAGTAATTTTGCATATTCGGGGAAGCTTCTAATACATCCTTCAGATGACCACGCCGTAGATTTTAACTAAATGTTGGCATTTCTCTTGTTATTATCAACGCTTCTAAAACTGGGAATCCTAGTGTTGCCAAGAACATCACATTGGATTAATATCTTGGGGGGCATGGATAACAGGCCAAGGCATTAATATATCCCGAATTGCAGAGGTATGGCTGGAGCAATGGGGTGTACAGGAAGGAAGAGTCCCAGGTCCCAGAATCAAAACTTTAGGGTCGCAGTGTTCACTTTGTGTGTTTTTGGGTTGATATTCTTGGCAGAGCTTCTTGTTGCAGTAAGGGCCGAAAGAGAGGATTATGTAGACTTTTTGGAAGAGAAGAAGAAGGAAGCAGAGTTGAATGCAACTAGGGCCAATACTACTGCACAGGCACCAAATTCAAGAGAAGGTAGCTTAGCTGAAGTATTCGATAAGCTGTTGGAAAAGGAATTTCCAGACAAGGAGGATTCTCAAGAAGCGCACGAGGGCTTGGTTGGAAGCAGCTTTAACAATAGTGTAAATAACCAGGAAGCCGAGCTGGAGACAGTGGCCAGAGTCACTCATGACAAGCCCAAAAAGAATGACACACAGGAAACCAATGGAACAGCCAAACCGTTTCAACTTCAGGATCTGATAAATTTAGAATCTGGTGAATCTGGCGCAGACGAGACGCCTCGCTTGATAGACAAGAAGGATAATGTATTTGTCATATCTAATCCACGGGAGTCCTCCATGGTCCTTCAACAAGACGTGAGATTTATTTCAGATTTGGTAATCGTCATTGTGTCAGCTGCTGGAGGTGGCATACTCTTCGCTTGTCTCGGCCAACCTGTGATTACGGGATATTTGCTTGCGGGATCTGCGATTGGCCCTGGTGGACTGGATCTTGTGAGCGAGCTTGTTCAGGTAGAGACGGTGGCACAATTTGGTGTAGTGTTTCTTCTTTTTGCTCTGGGTCTCGAGTTTTCGACTTCGAAGTTGCGGGTTGTGCGGGCTGTGGCTATCTTTGGAGGTTTCCTACAAATCGTCCTTTTCATGTGCCTGAGTGCAGTCACTGCTGTTTTCTGTGGAGCAAGGGCTTCGGAGGGTATCTTTGTCGGTGCATTTTTGTCGATGTCATCAACAGCTGTTGTGCTGAAATTCCTTATGGATCGCAATTCCACAAACACCCTTCATGGCCAAGTCACGATCGGAACCTTAATTCTTCAGGATTGCTGCGTTGGATTACTTTTTGCTCTACTGCCCGTGCTCGGTGGTAGTGGGACTCTCATAGCAGGCCTGGTGTCGATGTCACGCTCGTTGTTTGTGCTGGCAGCTTTTCTTCTCTCTTGTGTTGTCCTGGCACGTACCCTTGTGCCTCAATTTTTGAGGCTCATGGTACGGCTCTCCAGAGAAACAAACGAGTTGTATCAGCTGACTGCAGTGGCCTTCTGCTTCCTTATCGCTTGGATTAGCGAAAAGCTGGGTTTGAGCTTAGAGCTAGGTGCTTTTATTGCAGGTGTGATGATCTCCAGCACGGATCTTGCAGAACACACACTTGAGCAAGTGGATCCGATCCGAAACTTGTTTGCATCCCTCTTCTTGGCGAGTATTGGTATGTTGATAAATGCCCAATTTCTTTGGAATCATATGGATATCCTACTATCTTCGTTGATTCTCGTCATCACCTCGAAGACTATCGTGATCATGTTGGTGGTCAGAGCTTTTGGTTACAGCGGCAAAAATGCTTGTCTTGTGGGCATGTCTCTTGCTCAAATCGGAGAATTTGCATTTGTACTTTTGAGCCGGGCCTCCAATCTCCACCTCATTCAGAAGAAATTGTACTTGTTATTACTCGGGACGACGGCCCTTAGTCTCATCACTACACCACTGCTGTTTAGAGCAATCCCTGCTATCCTCCACCTTGGATCGTCGATGCACTGGTTTCCTCAGGATGCCAGCCAGATTGAGGTAACTCATAAACGAAATGGCAGCCCTCAGAAGACCTTGTTGAATTCAACATCGGTGAAAATTTGTTTGACATAGTAACGCGTTGTTTCTTCTAACTTGATTGTATCTCTGGTTCTTCAGTATGAAGTGCACGCTTTCCTGTTACTTTGACTTTGTCTTTTGGAACAGTGACATGTTAGAAGTCGGGGTTTAAGAAGAGTCCAGCACAGGGGGCTTCACTAGGCATGTGGTTCTAACTCACACGACCTATGTGATGAAGAAAGGAACGTACGCAGAGCCTGAACTTGCAAGAGGTGCAGAGGAAACTGGCAGCAACAGAAGATGGGTGAAGGATCAAGAATGTTTTCTGATTTCATCCTTGTACCATAATACTCTTTCAGTGAGGCCTTGAAGGTCAGTTTTTTCCTCTCGATTGAAGGCATATTTTCAGGAACAAAGCTACAGTGGCTGTAAGAAGAGTTGAAGGATGTTAGTACTTTACTAATCCTTTCGTGAAGATCGGTGAGAAACGGGCACGTTACCTTCATTGTATTAAACTGTTTTCAGTTTAGATAATTGACAGGACCAGCACCTGGTTAGATTTTCTCTAATTGTGAGTTTCAGCTACCCTTCAGGTGAGTTGGTCACAATATGTAGTTATGGGGGAGTTGAATATGACTTGAATGTAGAACTTAAAGTACTTAAAAGTGCAGGTAAGAAAGGTTGGACTCGAAGGCATTGACCTGCCAAATGAGGGAAATGAAATATCTTATACAGACATACAAAATGTAGCATTTTTCAGTCCGTTGATGTGGAAGATATATCCTCCTTGGCAGCTACTTCACCGTGCAGGATTTGGGAAATGTCCGGTGAAGCATGAATCTGAGATTTTCATACTGTTTAAGTTTGAAGAACCTTATTATCAAGAAAGAATGTGATAAACCTTTGTAATCAAAGCAATTTTCTATGAAGATGACTATTTATAACGCTTAAAAAAATGTAAAAGAAATGAATATTCTAGAAACATGTTATGCTCTATTTTAGACAAGATTTAGGATTGAAATTTGTGGGACTTCTGTTTCAAGATTATTGTGTTTTTTTTGATGAAATTGGATTTCCATTTGGTCTAATATTAAAAGTCAGAATTTGGTTTAATCAAAAATCGCATACAGAAAAAATTATATATTTATATATATATATATATATATATATATATATATATATATATATATATATATATATATTTATTTATTTATTTATTTATTTTGACATATATACAACAAATATATTAGAGCACGTACCAAATTCAACAATTGCTGGGGTTGTAAAGGGGCTTTTCAATGTACATTTTTTGTATGGTTGCAACCACATAAAATTTGTTCACAAATCAAATACGTGTGGAAGTTGGGTTCACAGGACTCGAGAAATTCAAAGTTATCTATAAAGGCACTCCAATATCTCACATAGGTATATGCATTAATTGCAGCTAATTCATTATCGAAAACAATCCTTACACTTTTGAAGTGACTTGTAACAACCTGACAGACAGCCATATTTAGGTCAAATTCAGGATCGCAAACTGCCGTAACTGCACGAAGGAGAGAAAAAATGGTGTACAAAAGAAGTTTCACTGGCAACAGACCTAAAAGAACCTTAGAAAATTCCAGTACACGAAAGTGATAAATTCCTCACCAAGTCCTTCAAGTAGATTCCACAAAGAGAACGAAAAGATCTACCCTTTGCGCAAGCATTGAACCTAAAATTTCAGAGTGGATAACTACCTCTCATCTTAAAAAATTACCATGTCATGATAAGAAGCTTGTTAAGCAATCAAGAAACTTGATCTTCCCCCAGATGCAACTGTTGGAAACTTTTTGCAGAAATATGGCAGAATAATGGGTCTTGTCCAAACTGGTAGACCCCAGCTGAAGCTGCCGCAAATTCTTAACTAAAAGAAATTTGGGTACCAAATAGTCTCAAATGTGCCGTTGACATGACTGCCCAGCCGAATCTAATCTACAAAGTTAAAAACGTAGAGAAAAGCTAGACTACAACCTCCAGTGAATTCAGCTTTCTCATAGAGCACCACCGGTCATATCAGGGCCTCTGTCTGCACCCACGCTACTGTACATGGCAGGACATGGAAGACCCAGCTCCGATGTAACTAACCGAGCTATTTGAGCGGTTACCTCTCCTTGAGACAACTTATTCAAAGTGATGGCAAGTGAAAAGTTGTGTCCAGGATAACAAAACCCTGTTGATCCACCAACCCCCGAGTGACCGAATCCAATAACTTCCTCCGCTAAATTGCTTCCACCAGAGGTAATCCTTCGAAAACCCAAACCAAACTTTTCATCTGTGTAAGCAAGCTTGCTGTACTCACCAGCAGCCAAGAAAGCATCATGTATCTTAGGATTAGAGTAGATATTGGAAGATTTTAAAGTATCTGCAATTTTAGGAGCTTCAATATCAGCAGCAGCCTTGGAGATTCGGTCTTGATGTTTCATCCCATCTTTCTTGCTACCCTTTCCCAAGGGGTCTAATTTCTTCTCCAACGGTTTTTGAGGGTGACTTCCCAAGCGGGGCTCACTCGATGAAGACGCTGAGGGAACGGCCCCTGCGGTGGCAAGAGTGGCGTAGTATCGAGCCAATGCTCGTGCCGAAAAATGACCATTGGCTGCCGGTATGATAGCACGCCGCACAAATAAAGTGTTGAATAGAACTGGCAGTGCAGTGATGGTTGACATACCATCTCCATCTTCGCCATCAAGCGAGTTCTGTGGAGTGGCTTGCTTCATTGCCATCTCAGATGGTTCAGCAAAAGATTCCACTGGGTTAGATTTAAGACTTGAAATCGCTCTCTGCTTTTCAATTACCTCTTTCATCGTTTTCACTTCTTCGGTGTCCAAAGAAAGTGATGCCAATCGATCCTCTATTCCTGTTCCGAAGCAAAGACAACGTCATGATGTAATAAAAAAACTGAATACAGAAATCAGGACAAAAAGTATAAGCAACATGAGGGACACTAAGCATGGAAATGATCACTTGAATGAAATCCACATCACTTGCATGAAAGTTCCACACGAACCTGCTGGAACACCTATATAGAACTCCCCAGCTAAGCCAATTGGTTGCACAAAAGCCTCCTCCAACAAATCCTGAAACTTTTTGCCAGATGCCTTCTGCAAGATATCCCACATCTTGGATCATTTAGAAAAAATATTGCATTACTCGTGGAGTGCACAGTAAGAGAATAGTAATCCATGTTGTTTGAGTTCAAAGAATAGTAGCTATTTTCTGCTTCGATGCCAAGTAAGATACTCAATAGTTCAGTAATGAAAATTGGGAGAATACACTGTTAGAAGCACGAATATGCAGACAAACACTAGACTCTTCCTAAGCTCCATAATACATTAACTAAAATGAGTAAAATGAAATAAGACCTAGACATCGCAAGTTACAAAGAACGCATGTTCCCCTGTCTTCCTCACAAAATATAATGCGTGAAAGGAAGAAAATACGCGACCTCAATTATGCCACCACATAGCCAACCAAAAGTTAACGCATGGTAAACTTGCTTAGCCCCCGGTGGTGATTCTGGGGTTGATGCAGCCAGCTTCTTTAAGGTTTCGTCCCAGTTGCACATAACCAAAGGATCCGACTTCAGATCACTTGTCAAGGCATTTTGCAGGCCGGCTGCGTGGTTCAAAACATGAGCAACCTACAAACAATGAGACAAAAGGAGTGTAAAATAGCTGTACTAGGAGATATGAAGGCTGAAGCGGTATCACTTCTGCGTAGATATCAAAAGGTGTAAAAACCAATACGGACAGCAGCAGACTTCCAGCCGGGTTTAACTCACAAGATGATTGACTAGTATCACAACAACAATATGAATTACATTACTCATGAAATGCACAAGTACAGTTTACCATGTGACCCTACACTAGATACTCTGTCTGATTATAAAGTGATAGCAGGAGTAGAAGCAGAAAAACCGAGCATAGAAAACAGGATATTAGAAAAGAATTCCATTTCAGAAGGATCCGTTGAGGTAACGTACCGTGATGTTGTCTTTCCCGTTTACTGCAAATTCTGGCCAATATGTAGAAACTTTATCACTCAGGCTGAGCTTTCTGCACAAGGAGAACAAAAACAATGTCTCCTGAAATGTAATTAGCTTTGAAGGTAAACAAAGATAAATGGAAAACTAAAACAATTATCAAAATGTTTGACCTCACAGAACTACAATACTCTGTCCTCTCGATTAGAAATAGGAACTTACCCTCGGTCAGCTAACCAATGCACAAGCCCAGCTGTGATTCCTTTGGTAACTGAGAAGCAAGAGAACAAGCTATCTGGTTGAACTGGCCTTGGATCAAACTTTCCAAGTACTCCGCCCGCAGTGTCAAGAACAACTTTTCCATCCTTATATGCACAAACCTGGAAACATTTGTCTTAATGTCGAGCATGTATGATCGCAAGAGCGCATCTACTGAGAATGAGGAATTCAATAAGAGAAGAAACACAGAAAACATACAGAATCCTGTCACTGTTGAATAAAAAGTATAATAATAAAGACGAACATTTCTTGGCTATGGATCTAATAATGCTGCAAAATTTGCGAACACTTTTCCTTAAATTACATACATTTTGTTTCAATTTCTGTTCAAGAACTTGACGCTCATATGTAACGAAACACAAACCTGAACCCCCAGTATCTGCTCCTTCCGCCCTAGATTTAGTAACAACTCCCACAGTTTTGTTTCAATACTAGAGTGAGGTGGTGTTTTATAAATCCAGTTATCAGTTTCCAGCATGCGTCCACTGCTTAACACATTCCCACTGTGACACCACAACTATATAACATCAGAACAATACGGAATTTGAATACATATTACCCTTCACATTGCATTCAAGGTTAACAGCAATATTTTCTTTATAATTCAACAGATTTGTGAAACCTCAAGACGCTGAATTACCGTTTGACTTCTATTTCTATTCCGAGCTTACTTCTTCCTACTCGCTTAAAACATCTCATTAACTTTTAAAATTTCAAAAAACTGTCTGGCCCAAGGTAAGTCAAATACTTTTTTAAATCTATCATGTACCTTCATTATTCACTCCAAAAGAATTTAATTTTAAAAAAATGATTCTTTAAAAGAAATAACATTATATTTTTTTCTTTTAAATTAAAGAGGGAGGGGTGAGGGGGGGAGGGGGGAGGGACGTTCTCCAAATTTCTACTTCAGTTTTCCTTGTTTAGATGCAGATAAACAGAATAATAAATAATTAAACTATTAGGTAGTTAAACCAGTTCACGCTTGGATAAATGTGATGATAAAGTAATAGTAATTTGCTAAGTAGAAGATATTTATTTATCTTATCCATAGACGATACGATGCATCTATTAACATGCATCAATCAACCCACCTGAACAAGGCCGTCTCTGCAAATGGACGCATCACCTCAAGGTAGACCACTTTTGCACCAAGCATTGAAGACAGACCTACACAAATGACAAACATCACGCCCACTGATCATGCAGAAAAAAATAAAATAAAATAAAAAGAAGCAAGTACTTTGTGATTGAGATGATCAATAAATGCACCAGGCCACATCTCACTAACCCCGTAGAAGATTCAAAACTCGCATGAAAAAGACGATGTCGCCTGGAAAAGCATCCACCTGAGCACGATGTTTGTAAGATAAACTTCATGATAACGTAAAACAGGCTATTCTCCGGAGCTCTAACTAAAAAATGAAGTGTATACATCGAAGTTCAAGAAAATAGTGGAACACAACCGTCAGCAACATAAAATTTCTTTATATCGACACGATATAACGAAATTCAGGCAGTATTACGCAAACACTACTTCAAACTAGAAGAATTTGAGCTCATGTAACACAAACAACCACTTAACAGTGTTTCCCCAGCTTTTCCATCAAAAAAAGACCAACGTAAACAAACATAATTATATTTTCAGAAATATCAACAAAATTAGAAAAGATAAATCGTACCGGGTTACGATGGAGACTGGCACCCTTCTCTGCCTCCTCCTTTTGCTTCTCTTGAAACCTTTTCCTCCGGTCTTCGTTCTCTTTTGTCCACTTTTTTATATCTTCCTGCACTCAAGTTTTTGGATGAGTCCACTCACTCCGAACGGCCAACAAAATTTAAGGCGATGATCGACTAGCTCCAGGACTGCATACACATTGTAAAAAGGTGAACTTTCAAAACGACTGTGTATGTGGCTTCAAAGGAATTCCTCACTTTAAGAATTAAAAAGAATCAGTGAAAAATTGGAACAAAGAGAATTTTTTCTACAAATATAGTGTAAGATTGAGTTAGACTTACCACAGATTCTTTTCCTGGAATGGATCGACGAAAGAAGAAGTTGGTAACTTGCATGGCATCTTCTGGCATGTCCATACGAAGCTTCAAACCAAGTTCCGTAAAAGAAGACAACAAGGCAGCATAATCACCCTGAAAAACACGGGACAAACATCTCTATCATAACTACAGTGTGAAATAAATGGAATACAGTCGTGTAAAGATATCTTCCACATCATGAACTGAAGACAATCATATACTTTATTAAGGAGATAGGAATAACCTCCGCACAAGCAAGAAGCATTTTTGCAAGTGCCTGTTTCTTGTTGAATGTCAAACTCTTAGTGAGCCCAAAATCCAAAAGAATGGGCTTGAAAGGAGGAACCTTGCTGACTAGAAAATTCCCTGTAATCAAGAAAAATAGATCCAAGTTTAAAGACTATTAGATCCAGAACATGTTACAGATTTGAATGCAACGCTCTAGTAACAAATTAGAATGACACTGCAGCTGACGGCAGTCCTTCAGGTCAACAGTTTCGCGAATAACACTTACCTGGATGAGGATCTGCATTGAAAAAACCATCGACATAGATCTGGTGTGCGTATGAACGAGTGATTGATTCCACCAATACTTGCATATCCACCCCCAATTCCTTCAGTTTGGCCACATCATTGAGACGAACCCCGTCCATGTAGACCATTATGAGCACTCTCTCTGTTGCCTGCCACATTATGCTCCATCATTGGAATAAGTGAACATTACTGGAGTTCTGAAAAGATGATAAAATGAGGACATGATTTTCTAAGAAGTGGAACACTCATTATGATTCATTTGATTAACTGGGAACCAACAATAGGAATGTGAACTTCCCTAAACTAAAAATGCAAGATTTAGGATTAAAAAAAGATATAAAAAGATGAGTCTGAGCATACTGATTGATTAACAATAACGCCTACCAATTCAATCGGGAGACAGATCCGTACCACCAGCAATTAGTTAGAGACTGAAGCATGCAAAATGTAAAGTAATCCATGTCACTATTTGATTCCCTCTCTTGACTGAATAATAACCTGTACAATTTCCGGCACTAACACATCAACGTGGCTCTTGGAAAGTTCTGCAGATGCTTCTTTATTGTTATAATCTAAATTCTTGGCCACCTTCTTTGTGTTTTCTGTATACAACAAAATCCTCAAGCATATAAGATGGGGGACTTCAAGAATTTCGAATGTAACAACTTAGCAAGAAAAGATGACGCAACTAAACATCTCGTTGCAATCTGTGCACGGCACGTTCTGCTGAGAGGATACTAAGAGCATAAGCTTCCTTACAATCCAAACATCTTTCAGCTACAAATCCACCTAGTAACATTCTTAAATGCACACGTAATAAACTGGCACAACTCCATACCAATGGAAAGTCTTGAACACAAGCAAAACGTTGAAGACATGAGGGTGTATCTAATCATTAGTTTAGTATTAGTGATTATTAGCGGACACTGATATGAGACATACCAGCCTCTAACTTGAAATTCAACTCCTTGGGCACTTCATTGCACCATTCATCCATAACAGGAGCAAAGTCGTAGTCAGGTTCAGCCCATGCAACCCACTGCACTATAGTCCGTGCATTCTTCAGGTCCTGCAGTGGATCGGCTCGCTCCGTTAGCCGCAGACGGCGATAAGATCAGAATATGAGAAGTAAGTACATACCAGAAAACAGATTTCATAACTACAACTTTTATCACATGGAACAAGGTCTGAGGCTAGAAAAAGATTTGATTGTACATACGTACGTAAAGGAATAACTCAAGCACTTGAGCGATGTGAGCGTTTGCTCTAAAAAAACAGATCTATTAGAAGTTGTTAAGTAATAGTTATCGTTTACTTGGAAAGTACCTCAGGAGACAAGTGGTATATGCAAATTTACAAATCCAGTCAATGAGAATGTTTCAACAGTATATGCCACACTAAACACATGTCTGTGCACCTGTAATATGATGTCTTTAATGCCCTGATGTTGAATCTTGACCACAACGTCTCTACCTTCCTTTGTACGAGCTCGATGAACTTGAGCAATCTGCAAAATTCTATCCTCAGCAACTAGCCATGTCTTCAATGCAAGCGGCAAAAATGTTCCTCAGCAAATCACACCACCTCTCAAAAGATGAGATCAAGGTCTATCTTCCAAAAAAATTAAAAACTAAATAAAAAAAATTAGATTTTAGATATTAATGTGTGGATGAATACTAAATTTATACTACAGAAGACAGGAGACTGACAAGGATGTCCAATAAAAATTCAGATTAAGCTCGAAGAGTAGTGTCAAAAACTTGTGAAGTAAAATAAATAAATAAATAAATAAAAAATAACCCCATAATCTCCTGCTTGGAAGAGGAACAAAGAGAAGACTTACCGAGGCTGTTGCAAGTGGAGTGGTATCGAACTCGGCAAAAAGCTCTGAAGGATCCTTACCCAGCTCCTTCTTAATGGTCGCCTTCACCTAGATAGCAACCCAAACAATAGGAAAAATTTATCACTTCAGGCAAGAAGACGAAAAGTAACATTCAACATAGTGCATTGAAAAGCACATCTGGACCTACATGTTGTAATAATTCATTACGAACCAAATAATCAAGCAGAAAACGAAGAGATAATCCACAAAAGAAATATAGACAAAGTTTTAGGAGTAAATCGTGCTGGTTGCAAATTTCACAACTCTTAAAATTCCATTAACTCGGACAAAAGCAAGCACCGCGGCTACATACTGCTGTTGAAAAGCCCTAACTACGATATACAAACACTTCAGTACATCGTAGTTTATGGAATCATCAATCAATGCCTATTCTGATGCCCAAGGCTTCTCTGCACGCCTTCTCGCAAAATAATAAGCACAATATTCATAACAGCACAAAAGTCAAACAAAAGACACAACGACGAAAACGGTATCAAATTAAATTGGTATGGGAATTTATGTTGAGCAATCGCGACGCAACTTGAGAGCAGTGAACTTTTCTCACAAACCTCCTTTATAGAACGTGGTGGAAGAGAGTCTTGAAGTAGACGTAGAACTTCGATGTACGGATCAGGCAAAACGTCCGCCCTTGTGGACAGATACTGACCCGCCTTCACCCACAACCCCTCAAGACCTACAATAGCATTATGTATACGTTTAGCATTGCGTTCGTGCGCCTTCTTCCATAGCTTGTTTCTATCTGACGTGCTCTTAGCCCATTTTTCTCTCCTCTGAACCACCTGCACATCATCCCATGCAGCGTAAAATGTAAATCGCATCTCTTAAACGTCAGACTTCTCACTTTTGCATCTGAACACTGAAACATTTTGAAGAAACAAATAAACAAGGAAAGAAATACTCGTACGGCACTAATTATCAGCAAAGCTCGCTAAAATAGGTTATGCTCTTTTGAAGAATCAGCTGATACTGATTGTGGAGAGTCTTCTGGATATTCTCAGTCTTACTATAAAATTGAAATGACTCGGGCTTACCCTGTACTCAACAAAGACTCTCAGAGCAACGAGGAACACTCGCATCTGCCTGCCCCATCCCATTAGACCTTCAACTAGCGTCGTGCTCCAGGAGGCGAACCAGGTTACGAACGAAACCACCAATGAGTTGTCTGTTGGAGTGCAGGGCGAGGGGTTTGGCAACTTTAAACTCCCTCGGTTACGCTACCTGCCGAGCAATAATGTTGAACTTTAGTAAGCAATTCAAGAAGAATCATGAAGCTGGCAAACATGGAAAACGGACTTGGTGTCAGCATAAGACATACAAGGAGCCAGCAACAAATTCGCGTCCGAGCTTCACTCTCTGCATTCTAAATGTAGCCAGTCTTCGCAATTTTCCTTAGAGGCTCATTTTCCATTCGACTACAACACAGGGCGCGCTGAGACTTGTGAGGAGCAGAGGATAATCTGGAAGTTCTTCGACCCTAAAAAGAAGTAGGTTGGATTGAACGTTGCAAGAAAATCGTTTCATTCGATGAATTCCACTTGCTTACAATATGGAGAGAAATGACATTCTTCGGGGGTTCTCGCTACAATGTCGAAATTTTGAGATTCTCACCTGTCCTGATTACGCAATCTCTGCAGACTATAACTAATAATCACACTCACGAAGGCCCCAACTCGTTCCAGATTAAAAACCAAGCTTGCAATTCAACCGATTGGATCCTCTCAACTAGAGACGGTGGCGATGAATTCTACAGCAGCAATCATTTGCAGGTATTGAGGAACATCAGCGTGAACACCATGAAAGAAGAGACACAGAGACCGAGAAAAAGCGAGAGAGAGAGAGAGGAAGAGAGGGAGCGAGAGAACGCGACTGGACGTATGTGACTCACATCCTCACCATGGCCACCCACTTTGCAGATGCATCCGCAAAGCGAAAAGAGTGCTGACCGTGATGGAAGGCTCGTGGAAGTTGGATCGTGATGATCAACGGCACCCTTCGCCACCGCACATGCAGGCACGTCCTGCATCCTGCTCATGCCTCATGTCCATGTCCCTCTCCCTCCATAACCCCCCGCCCCCGCAAAAACAACACGAAAACACTCCCACACTCTCTGGCCTCTTACTCTTCGTCCTTCACTGCTTTTTTTCTTCTTCTACTGCTTCGATGCTGATCTCTGTCTCTCTCTTTCTCTCTCGCGTTGCTGCTGCTCTTCTTCCTGGTTCTGCTTCTTCCCATTCTTTAGTTCCTCTGTCTTGTAGTTATGAGAGGGGTCGTTTGGCAAAGCGATCGCACAAAGCCCTGACTTACAGTGCGATCGTCGCATCAACCTCACCCTCTTTTTCTCTTCTGATTCCATTACAAGGCAACGAGAACATGACCTCGTGTGGTTTTTGATAAGTCTATGATATGATATCAGAAGGTTGCGAATGCATTATAGGAAGGGAAAAATGGATATGGACACAGATCTTTCGGTCCTTTCTATTTCTTCTTATAGTCCTTCTTTCAACTGCTTCTACGATGTGTTAAAGGTTTTTTTTTAGTAGACATGATTGTTTTCGAAAATGAAGTTTGAGTGATGGTTTTCACCTTGAAGCAAATTCAATTCTTTAGTTGTATTTCATGTATGTTGAGAGAATTGTGTATTATTTCTTGGTTGCATATTTCATTTTTTTCATTATCAGAGATTAAAATTAGTGATCAAAATTTGCTTGTTGCTGAGAGAAGCATTCCAAGATCACTAGGAGATCTAAAGCTCCCAATAGTAAATTTAAGTAAATATTTTTCAGTAAATATTTTTGTAACTAATGGCACAAGTTTCCACTAATATATAAATGTATATAGACATAAGCAGTGGAAGGTAGGAGAGTATTGATGTAAACAAGTTATTATATTAACAATATACCACTATGTATATTGTCTCTTATGTCATGTCTATCTTAATATAAAAAAATTGCATTTGTAATACATTTAATATTTTTATCAAAAACTTTGTTTAGAAAGTTCAATTATATTTTACTTAAATTTGATTTGCATAAAAATAAAATATAATTTTATATACAAAAATAGAAATTTTAATAGATAAATATTTAAAATAAGGTTTTTTTTTAATTCTGAAATTTATAAAAAAGCATTATATCTATAGATTTATAATTAATTTGTAATATAAAGTATTGATTTTTTATTTGTACTTTAGATATAATTTTTTCATTAATTTTTTTTTTATTAATTTACAAATAAATATTGTAAGATCATTTTATTTTATTTTATTTTACTTTTATTTTTATGATTTAATGTAATCTTATCTTTCAAATAAGTCAAAAAATTTAATAAATAATTGTGAATAAATAGATATTTAAATTTAGAATTTAGAATTTCATATCTTATTTTAGAATATAAAATAAGAAATATTTGATAAAAGTTTTTATAAGACAAAAAAAACTTAATACATCATCATCAATATTAATAATATGACTTAGAAATCTATAAATAACAAATATATATATATATATATATATTATTAATATTTTATTTTTGTAAACTTTTTTATACCTTTGAACAATCTTTGTTGATGTAATTGATTTATAATATTATTTTTTGTGTAATTATTTAAGTTTTCAAACTTTAGAATTAGAATGAATTATTAGTTGAGAATAAATAAATAAAAATGTAATAGCTATTAAATTTGAATTTCATAATTGTTTTGTATGTATAGGATTTCTACAACAAAAATTTAGCTATTAAAAATCTTAGTATTTTAAATCTATATTTTATCAATAATATCTTATATGGAGCTGTGAAAGCAACACTCCCATCTTATTAAAGTGACATCCTATGTAGATACATTCATGCTCTCCCTTCAACTGTTATGCTACAAGTGCTCTCTCTTACCACACTCCTCTCTTGTCACTCTCATCTCCTATTGAGTTCTACTTATGTCTACTCTAGCTCTCTATTGTTGCACTTTACTTGTATTTAGTCTTGCTCTTCTCTATTGCTCTCTACTTGTGCATATACACTAAATCCTTACTTCTAATGTCTCTTCTACCCAAATACAAGTTGCTACAATTGCCAATTTTTTCCAAAGTATCCCAAAAGATATTACAAAGTGCAATCTTAAAAGGAATTGCAATGCAAGCAACCAAAACTCCTTCAAGGATATAAATTTAATAATATGGGAGTATAGCTTTAATAATTTTCTATCTTATATTACACAAAATTATATTTTGTTGTTTCTAAATATCTAGAAGCACATACTATATCTAAAAAATAAATATAGAATTCTATTGCTTTATATATATATATATATATATATATATATATATCTTAAATATTTAAAAAGAATAAAAATTTTAAACGAAAATAATAATAATAATAAATATAAGTAATTATTTCATGTAGGGAAGAGGTTTTAGCTAAAATAAATAAATAAATAAACAAATAATAATGCAATCAAAAATCTTCTTTAAAAATTAATTTATACTACTAGTATTAAAGGAATAACATAAAAGAGAATGTTGGAGAATCATTGTAGCTAAAGAAGCAATGATAGAATTTTTAAAAATATAGTATTTAAATTACTACATTCTTATATAAAATTAATAAATATAATATTGTTTAGTTGTATCTCTTGAAAGCAATTTGTAAAGGAGTTTAAAAAAGTAATTGTTGAATAAACTTCAACATTCATGTCACAATATTTACTAATATATTTATTTAGATAAACAGAACTAGATAGTAGTGGATTAAATTCTTGATATCTTATTTAAAAGCTTTCAAGAAGTTTTGTAGATTTTACACATGTTTATAAGTGATTGGTAAGTTGACAAATTGGTCAACAAATTGGCCATATGTTGAACATTTAGCCACTTTTATTGCAAGTAAGCAATGTGGCATGCATGTCAAAAACTTGTTCTACAAATTAGATTTGTGTCTCACAAGTTGAGCATGTGTTATATGGCTTAAATGACATTGCTATGTAGTTTTTTAGTAGATAGTATGTATGGAGGTAAGAAAAATGCATTCTTTACTCTTGTCAAGACTTTTGTTGCATTCTATATCGGTTCAAGACTTCCTAATTCTTTTGTATTTGGCAATAGTAAGTCTAGTTTCAATTCTATATTTGTCTTTTTGTTGATAACATTCTTTCTATTGCCAATATAAGAATGTACTGCAATTTTCAGAATTTATTGTAATTCATGTCTTTGAAAGTACACTAGTTTAAATCATAACCTCACTATTACTATCTTATAAAAAAAATTATTATTTTTTAAAATATAATAATAGAGATTATATTCTAATCAAAATTTTATTAAATCTTACTAACATCATTCATAATTTAGTATGTAGGACCTTAATATTAAGATTACAACTAAAATTTGATTAATAATACAATATTTAATCTCTTCACCTAAAATTCATCAAGTATAGATGATTTGTCCCACTGTGTTAGAATTTAATTAAATAAGATTCAACTTCTAAGTTTATCTGAACAAATAAACATTTCTTCAATACTTGTCTCTTTAGCTAGATCTTACTTGACAGGAAGGGTAGTTGCTGTCTAGGGGTTGATTGTGGTGGCAGAGATTATTGTCTGTGGGGGCAGAGATCGAGGAGTGAGGACGATGATGGTCCTCCTCTTGGGGGGCTGCTTGGAGATGGGCGCCATGGCTAGGGAGGAAGCACAAGCAAGGCCAGGTCCTCTACGAAGAGAGCAAAACAAAACAGGAAAATGAAGTGGAATGAAGGTGGAAGCGCACAGCATGCCTAGTTATAGGAACCCCTGGGACAAAGTGGAATGGAGGAGGGCGCAAGCACTGGGAGTTCCAATTGGAGTTGCAGTAGGAGTTCGAACTGGAGTTCCAGTAGGAGTTGCAGAAGCCGAGAGCAGCAGCAGTCCAGGGCAGCGGTTTGTGGAGCACGTGGAAAGGTTGTGGAGCATACAAGTCAGCGTGGAGAGCAGGGATGGGGAATCCACGGGGGCTTCTTGGTCCTGCTGTGTGCCTTGTTCGTTGGCCCCCGTTCTCGGTGGGAGGCGCGGAAGCGGTGATGAGAATTGCTAGGGCTCGCGGCATGTCTGATTTGGGTGAGAGAGCGAATGGAAGCGGGAAGATGCGTCGTGGGGGAACGGCGTCTGATATGAGGGGTGTGAGCAATTCCGGGTGTTGGGACGCTGTGCATTTGGTTGGCGCTGCGTGGGTGAGTGGACGGATTGGGAGCGTGCGATGCGGGTGCGCATGGCATGGGCAAAACTTATTTTGCAAAAGTACGAGAAGAACTTCAAGAAGGGCATGTCGACAGATTCAACTCTTCATCTTTTAAATGACAGGTTTATTACTGCTACACATGCTTTTAACCTATTTCTTTTCCACAACACAACTGTGAAAAGAAGGTCATTGGGTATGAAGCTAGTTTCGTGGAGAACTGTGCTTTTTGGCATAGTATAATCTTTATTCAATGATACTCGAGGCTGAACTTGGTTTATGTTGGTCTGTGCAGTTCTTTAAGAGATGTACAGATTCCACCAGGACCCAGGCTTCTGATTTTGGATCACTTAAAAAGGTGCGTTTAGCTTGATCTTTCTCATTCCTGGCCAATGCCTACTTTATGTATTGATTTATTGGCTCTATCTTTCAACGTTTACCAGATGCATGAAGGATACATCTCTTGACCATGGTATATTAGAACGTTCATGCTGCCAATATTTCTTGCGGCTCTGTGTTACTCTATGCTTATGTACTCACAAAACTTCTGGCATTATTACAGGTTCGGAGATGTTGCAAGAAGATCTAGCTAATGGTTGCATGTCATTTCTTGCGAAGAGTCGAGACGAGATTGTACCTTACCGTTTTCAAAAATTAGACTTGACTTTGCATCGATTTTTCTCGCATTAGTATTGGACTGAGGATGGGTGAACATGGTCACTTCTCAATCCGCAAAGCCCTTTCACATCATTAATTGGATAGTAATCTGAATATATTGTCATTACTGACGCACTTTTGGTCAGAAGTTAAGGAATGTCTTTGCCACTGTCTAATCGATTGGAATGGATGCCATCTGAGCGTTGCTTACAGCGTTTTTTTCAGGGTTAGCAGTTTCTTGAACGTAATTACACCTAATTTTTCATCCTCTTGCCAGGTTATGCGATGCCTTTTGTGGATGTAGATGCACTTGCTGCTATTTGTGGATGTAACTTGAGCATGGCCCAGGAGTGGAGTGAAGGAACCTTAGGGAGTACATCCACAAATAGCAGCAAGTGCATCTACATCCACAAATGCTGGAAGCCTGAGCATGGCCCAGGAGTGTTTTATTCAGTGGGGGAATAAAATACAAGATTGGGGGAATGGTGGTGCACTATAGACTGAAACTGAGATGGCGCACCAAAAGTGTGCCATATCATCTGTCGAGTCTAAATGCCAAGCCCTGCATATGAACCCTAGCCCTGCATATGAACCCTAGGGAGGCGTGCATTTGGAAAGCGGTGCAGGGTTCACATCGGGTAGAAGGTGACCCCTGGGGCCAGGGTGACCTTCTTGCAGGCGATGGGGAAGATGAGGTTGAGGGGAAGTCGAGGAGGGATCCAGACTTTCATGAGGATCCTCCGGCCCAGCCTTCTCGACAACAACGGGGACACGGTTGGCGTGATCTTAGGCACCAGCACTGGTGCAATGTTGCAGCGTGGCTCGGGCCTAACGCGTGGCCTTATGTGTGGCCTGAGCAGCTGAGCAGGGTTTGGCTGTGGCTGGACAAGAGGATGCGCGGGTGTGTGCAAGGCAGAGTCGGAAGCATGGGGTGGCTTCGAGTGCGCATTGAATTTGGGCTTGGGGTTTTTGGAGGTGTGCCTTGGAAGCTGTCTTGGCTTGGCAGGAAGGGTAGTTGCTTTCTTGGGGTTGATTGTGAGGGCAGAGATTATTGTCTGTGGGGGCAGAGATCGAGGAGTGAGGACGATGATGGTCCTCCTCTTGGGGGGCTGCTTGGAGATGGGCGCCATGGCTAGGGAGGAAGCACAAGCAAGGCCAGGTCCTCTACGAAGAGAGCAAAACAAAACAGGAAAATGAAGTGGAATGAAGGTGGAAGCGCACAGCATGCCTAGTTATAGGAACCCCTGGGACAAAGTGGAATGGAGGAGGGCGCAAGCACTGGGAGTTCCAATTGGAGTTGCAGTAGGAGTTCGAACTGGAGTTCCAGTAGGAGTTGCAGAAGCCGAGAGCAGCAGCAGTCCAGGGCAGCGGTTTGTGGAGCACGTGGAAAGGTTGTGGAGCATACAAGTCAGCGTGGAGAGCAGGGATGGGGAATCCACGGGGGCTTCTTGGTCCTGCTGTGTGCCTTGTTCGTTGGCCCCCGTTCTCGGTGGGAGGCGCGGAAGCGGTGATGAGAATTGCTAGGGCTCGCGGCATGTCTGATTTGGGTGAGAGAGCGAATGGAAGCGGGAAGATGCGTCGTGGGGGAACGGCGTCTGATATGAGGGGTGTGAGCAATTCCGGGTGTTGGGACGCTGTGCATTTGGTTGGCGCTGCGTGGGTGAGTGGACGGATTGGGAGCGTGCGATGCGGGTGCGCATGGCATGGGCAAAACTTATTTTGCAAAAGTACGAGAAGAACTTCAAGAAGGGCATGTCGACAGATTCAACTCTTCATCTTTTAAATGACAGGTTTATTACTGCTACACATGCTTTTAACCTATTTCTTTTCCACAACACAACTGTGAAAAGAAGGTCATTGGGTATGAAGCTAGTTTCGTGGAGAACTGTGCTTTTTGGCATAGTATAATCTTTATTCAATGATACTCGAGGCTGAACTTGGTTTATGTTGGTCTGTGCAGTTCTTTAAGAGATGTACAGATTCCACCAGGACCCAGGCTTCTGATTTTGGATCACTTAAAAAGGTGCGTTTAGCTTGATCTTTCTCATTCCTGGCCAATGCCTACTTTATGTATTGATTTATTGGCTCTATCTTTCAACGTTTACCAGATGCATGAAGGATACATCTCTTGACCATGGTATATTAGAACGTTCATGCTGCCAATATTTCTTGCGGCTCTGTGTTACTCTATGCTTATGTACTCACAAAACTTCTGGCATTATTACAGGTTCGGAGATGTTGCAAGAAGATCTAGCTAATGGTTGCATGTCATTTCTTGCGAAGAGTCGAGACGAGATTGTACCTTACCGTTTTCAAAAATTAGACTTGACTTTGCATCGATTTTTCTCGCATTAGTATTGGACTGAGGATGGGTGAACATGGTCACTTCTCAATCCGCAAAGCCCTTTCACATCATTAATTGGATAGTAATCTGAATATATTGTCATTACTGACGCACTTTTGGTCAGAAGTTAAGGAATGTCTTTGCCACTGTCTAATCGATTGGAATGGATGCCATCTGAGCGTTGCTTACAGCGTTTTTTTCAGGGTTAGCAGTTTCTTGAACGTAATTACACCTAATTTTTCATCCTCTTGCCAGGTTATGCGATGCCTTTTGTGGATGTAGATGCACTTGCTGCTATTTGTGGATGTAACTTGAGCATGGCCCAGGAGTGGAGTGAAGGAACCTTAGGGAGTACATCCACAAATAGCAGCAAGTGCATCTACATCCACAAATGCTGGAAGCCTGAGCATGGCCCAGGAGTGTTTTATTCAGTGGGGGAATAAAATACAAGATTGGGGGAATGGTGGTGCACTATAGACTGAAACTGAGATGGCGCACCAAAAGTGTGCCATATCATCTGTCGAGTCTAAATGCCAAGCCCTGCATATGAACCCTAGCCCTGCATATGAACCCTAGGGAGGCGTGCATTTGGAAAGCGGTGCAGGGTTCACATCGGGTAGAAGGTGACCCCTGGGGCCAGGGTGACCTTCTTGCAGGCGATGGGGAAGATGAGGTTGAGGGGAAGTCGAGGAGGGATCCAGACTTTCATGAGGATCCTCCGGCCCAGCCTTCTCGACAACAACGGGGACACGGTTGGCGTGATCTTAGGCACCAGCACTGGTGCAATGTTGCAGCGTGGCTCGGGCCTAACGCGTGGCCTTATGTGTGGCCTGAGCAGCTGAGCAGGGTTTGGCTGTGGCTGGACAAGAGGATGCGCGGGTGTGTGCAAGGCAGAGTCGGAAGCATGGGGTGGCTTCGAGTGCGCATTGAATTTGGGCTTGGGGTTTTTGGAGGTGTGCCTTGGAAGCTGTCTTGGCTTGGCAGGAAGGGTAGTTGCTTTCTTGGGGTTGATTGTGAGGGCAGAGATTATTGTCTGTGGGGGCAGAGATCGAGGAGTGAGGACGATGATGGTCCTCCTCTTGGGGGGCTGCTTGGAGATGGGCGCCATGGCTAGGGAGGAAGCACAAGCAAGGCCAGGTCCTCTACGAAGAGAGCAAAACAAAACAGGAAAATGAAGTGGAATGAAGGTGGAAGCGCACAGCATGCCTAGTTATAGGAACCCCTGGGACAAAGTGGAATGGAGGAGGGCGCAAGCACTGGGAGTTCCAATTGGAGTTGCAGTAGGAGTTCGAACTGGAGTTCCAGTAGGAGTTGCAGAAGCCGAGAGCAGCAGCAGTCCAGGGCAGCGGTTTGTGGAGCACGTGGAAAGGTTGTGGAGCATACAAGTCAGCGTGGAGAGCAGGGATGGGGAATCCACGGGGGCTTCTTGGTCCTGCTGTGTGCCTTGTTCGTTGGCCCCCGTTCTCGGTGGGAGGCGCGGAAGCGGTGATGAGAATTGCTAGGGCTCGCGGCATGGCTTTGGAAGTACATTAGTTTAAATCATAACCTCACTATTACTATTGTTTTGTAGATTTTTTAGTTTTTTTTCTACAAATATTATAATAGAAATTATATTCTAATCAACCATTTATCATCTCTTACTAACATCACTCATAATTTAGTGCATAGGATCTTAATATTAAGATTACAACCAGAACTTGAATAATATTATAATATTTAATCTCTTTAGATAATATTCATCAAGTATAGATGTTTTGTCCCACTGTGTTAGAATTTAATTAAATAAGATTAAACTTCTAAGTTTATCTGAACAGATAAACATTTCTTCAATACTTGTCTCTTTTGCTAGATCTTACTTGGCAGGAAGGGTAGTTGCTTTCTTGGGGTTGATTGTGAGGGCAGAGATTATTGTCTGTGGGGGCAGAGATCGAGGAGTGAGGACGATGATGGTCCTCCTCTTGGGGGGCTGCTTGGAGATGGACGCCATGGCTAGGGAGGAAGCACAAGCAAGGCCAGGTCCTCTACGAAGAGAGCAAAACAAAACAGGAAAATGAAGTGGAATGAAGGTGGCAGCGCTCAGCATGCCAAGTCATTAGAACTCTTGGGGTTTCGTTGTTCTGCTGTTTAGATCACTATATATTTAAGTAGTTCATCGTTTACATTTAATTTTAGATCGTATTTGCGGAATATGACTTCTTTTTAGTTATCAATTATGTTTTTTCATCTTATTTTTTCTGTGTGGGTCTAGCATTACTTGTACCTAATTGAAATACTGTATAACACTTTTTGTTTTTGTTTTGGTCTTCTCTGTGAACTCTACGCAATTGGGATTTATTCGCTGTTCTCTGTATATAATCTTTATATTTTTCCCATCATACTTTTAATTATAGGTATCTTTGTTTACTTTTGTGGTCTATATTTAGAACGCAAGTCGGGTTATTTGAAGGTTGTATTGCTTGGTTGTATTTCTTTACAATTGTAGCTTTGTACGAAAGCTCTTATCGATAGAACTTTGAGAGTTCTGGTGTAAAGGTGGCCTGCACCAGTGTTCCGGCTATGGACTGTGGATCATTGGAGAAGGAGGGCATCGAGAGCATTGATGGAGAACATTGGGTACCACTTTGCACCCACTTCTAAATTCAGTTGCCTGGCATGGGAACAGAATTTTAAGTTGAGATCCCAGTTGATTGCCACGTCCTTTAAAACAAGAGGTACCCTTTCATTAGGGTCCCTTTATAATGCCTTCAAAAAGCTCAAATTGCCCATAGGAACTGTTTCAAAGATTGTCTATGGAGTTTGTTTTCCAAATTTTCTCCACAAGCATCACTATTTTGTACCTCAATTACACATTTTTATTTTTGGTGATTAAAAAATGAATGATTATAAGATAATTGGTGTATTGTTTTGGAGGCATAACATGAGAATTAACATCGATACAAATCTTTGGAAGAATATTTTACTTTTCAAAATCTTTGTTTGTAATTAATATCAATGATCCTTGTTCACATGTCTTCATTTTATTATAAGTAATGTTCTCATTACTTGTTCTGATTAGCAATTGAAAAGAAAATTGGATAAGTTTTTCTACTCAAAACTTTTAATTGCTTCAGTAATTTCTCTGCTTGAATATCGCTACCAAATCCGGAAATCATAATAACAAAGTAGATTTAAATGGCAGAAACATGTTCCTGTTGTATTAATTGATCACTGTGTATAAGTTGCACATTATAAAATTATTATTCACATGTGTTTTTTAGCCAAAGAATTTCACCAATTTTTTTTATTTGCATAACTACATTTCTGTTATAGTCAAAGCATGTGCATCATACACTTTGTACTGGATATATAATACATCTCATTTCTTTCATTTTCACAACTTTGAAAATTTGACTGGATTCATGATTATTTTTTATTTTTAAAACCTATAAATAATTTTATTTAAAATTTTATTATCTACTGTAAAAATAAAAACATCAGTTAGTATTTGTGTAAATTGGAAAATTATCAACTACTACACTTCAATTGCTGTTTTAAAGAGCATTCATTGTCTATAAAATTTATATTGAATTTTCACTTTTAATCTATATCCACTTTAAAATAACTAATGATCAAAGGTTGTAACATGATTTATTCTTAGTCAATGAATTGAACTAATGATTTAAGGTTGTAACATGATTTGTAGTGGTTTCAAGAAGGAGAATTAATCATTTTCTACCCACAAAAGTGCTTAAAACTTGAATGTCAAAGAGGTTTTGCATATTCTTGTATTATGATCAAATTTTAATTGATACTATCTAAGCATTGTTTTTGAGAAAAGTTTGTGAATTTAGATCTTGATTTACAAAAGCATTACTAGTAATGCAATGATAAAATTTCTAATCCATGGAACTACAAGAAAATTCAAGCATATGCATCCAAAAGATTTGGTTTTGGCAAATATAGTCTTAGAAGTTGTGTTGTTCTTGATCTTTAATTATGTACCTAAACTATTTTTCCTTATGAGAATTTAATTCAATTTGACTATTCTATAATCTTGTATAATATCAAAGCTAAAATAAATTTCATAAAATTTTAGAACTTTACATATGATTAGAATGTGTCGATACATTCTATGATACTACAACTTAGATGAATATTTTTATGCAACATAGCTCATTCAAAAAAATTATACAAATAAGATATCAAAAAAAATTGATGAGACATATTTTAATGTTTAGAAGTGTTAACTTGCTTTGCTTCTTAAATGAGAGAAATTTTGGTCTGTTATTCATGGTAATAAGTTCAAACCAATATTACAATTTCTTTGTTCTAAATGAAAGCAATACATATACATGTATGAAATCATAATGAAAATTATACATGCATATTATTCATATATATGGCATTGCCTTTGTGCAATTCTTTTGATTACTTGTATGACTTCTATATAGTTGCAATTTTAGTAGATCAATGTTGAATCCACTTAATGGCTTGAAAGATGAAGATTTGGAAGTTGTATCATAAATGTGATGATTATTGCAATGTAGTCTCAATATATATATTTGATGGATAGACACACAATATATAACAATGATTTCAATTGCAAATTTTCTTAGCAATCAAATAGTTTTAATATGTAGAATCAATGCTAGAAGCACTATACATGTTTAGGGTAAGGTGTCCATGTTAAAAGTGTGTAGGAATTGGAAATGAGAGATGTTTGTGTAAAGCTTTGTGATATGGATTGGAATTTGGTGATATCAATAGTAGAGAGGAAGAGGGTAGCATGTTAATTATAGAAATTGATTGTAGTGGCATAAATCTAATTGGAATATATACATATAGGTGTCTAAAGCATCAAATTAAATGGTAGCAAATACATACTTAGATTTAAACAACATTTAATTATCAAGTTGAATTATACCTTTAACATTTGAAATATTATTCATTAACAAATTTTACTTTACATATTAATATAACTCAATTATACTAGTGTATATATATATAATGATTCATCATCAAGTTTATAATATGTAAAAATTGAAATTTTTTAAGATTCTTTAAAAGAAATTCTAAATGATTTGATACATCAAAGATAAGTTTTCTTAAGCATAAGCTTGTTTAAACATGATTCTTGAAAAAAATTATAATTCAAACTTAAAATATTTTTCTTTATTTGATTTGTAATTGTTGTAAGGTCTATTTCTTCTAACAAAGAATAAGAATTATTTAACATATTCTTAAGCATTAAACATGGGATATTGTATTTATGAAAAGACATATGTGAAATTATTTATGTAATCATCCTATATAAATATGAGTAATGAAGTTTTGATTAAGAATATTAAATAATAGAATTATGAATAAAATTTAATAAATTATTGACATCACAATATTTAGATTTACCTTGATAGTTATAATATATATATATATATATATATATATATATATATATATATATATATTTATATAATTTAAAATTTAAAATATCTCATATTTAATTTAACTTTCTTATATTTGGCATGTATGGACAAAATGGCTTATGCATTGAAAGTATTTAAAATTACATCTTTTTGATTGGAAGTTGTTTGCTTTAAGTTATTGTGTATTTTTGACAAAAAAATATTAAAATAAAATGATGCAATTACGTATTAACCAATGCATAACAAAAGACAATTATGAAAAGCAATTTTTGCTTTGTATGATGCAACTCAAAGTCAAAATCCTTATTTTATTGGCTTCATAACAAGCCAATATTTGGCTATTTTTGCCACTATTGCAATCAATTCTACTAAGGTATTGAAGATTATATTGAAAGCTATAAAATATTTGCTAACTAATTTTTGTCCTTTTTATTGTGTAAATAATGTTCCAATCTTTAAGAGCTTCAATATCATTATCAAAAATCTATAGTTGTAGTATTAATGATTTTTAATAGAATTAAAACTTTCAAAAATTATGATATTACCTTAGATTTTTATGCCTTAAATGAAACAACTATAACAAAAAAAAAAAAAAAAAAAAAAAAAATCTAAACTTTGTTGGTTTTACAATGAACTATCATTTAGTTTTTACTCCCACAATTGTGTATTATTTCTATAATAGCATTAAGAACTATCTTGACAAGCATAAAATTTTGGTTAATATTTTTTTTCTTTCAATTAATTATGTAATAATACTCTAATTTTTTAGTATTTGTATCCAATATTAATAATAAAAAAACCATGGTTATAATATTGATCATTGATAGTTGAATTAAAATATTAAAAAATTAAGTCTTTACCTTTGATTTTTTTAAAATTAAGAATAATTAGATAGTTCCAAAAATTACATTAAAAAAAATAAGAAATTTTTCATTGTAATTTGATACACATTTCTAAACTTGGTTTTAACTTAAAAAATATTAATTGCTTCATGTTCTTAAGCCACTTTCTATGCTCTTATAACCACCAATATTTTATCATAGTAAAAAAAAATAATCTATGAATTATACACTAGATTAATATTATAATAAATGTATATTCTAAAAGGTAATTATTATTACAAATTTTAATTTAACAGAGATAATATTACAATAAATGGTATAATATTAAATGATGCCATTTTGCATTATAACTTAAAAGAGATAATTAAAATTTTTTCATGGATATACATAGGTATTCTAATAAATGCCTATATAATTAGATAAAAATAGATAAAAGTATGTTAATTTTATAATATTTTTTAGAATAGCTTCTTAAAAGCTTCATAGACATTGCTTTGATTTTACATGTAATTGTAGTTGATTAATAGGTTAGAAACTTAGTCAACAAGTTAACCACATGTTGGTAGCTTGTAGAACAAGTTAACTATATCGCGCACATATAGAAAACTTGCCTTGTAAGTTAAGATACGTATCTTGCAAAGTCAACATGTTTTGGAGGTCTTATAGGACATCGCCACATAGCTCTTAGTTAAGAGTATATATATGGAGGCAAGAATGAAGCCTTTTTCACTCTTGTCAATGCCTTTGTAGTCTTTAGCTTTATTTCAAGACTTTCTAGTGTTCTTGTTTTTGATAGTAGCCATTCTAATTCAATATTATATCATCTTTGAGTGACTTTTTAATTCTTTTTAATGATACAAGAGTATATTGAGGATTTTTTTTTTTTCAAGTTTCATGTCTTTGATAGTTTGATAAGAGTGCTAACTTATTGTTTCTAACTTGTTTTAGAATTGAGAAGATTATTCTACTTCTATTGTTGTGTTTTGAAGATTGCAGACTACCCACCTTTAAACAAAAAATCTTATTTTCTAACACTGATCTTTTCCTTAAAGAAAGTGAAT